TAGACTTTCGAAGTCCCCAGGGTTTTGTTTTCCCCTCTCCATTTTATTGTTTCTACCTGGTGATGACACTGTCCTAATAGCCTTCCACCCCACTGCTCAATAAAAGTCAGTCTCAGCGCAAATTTGGGGGAATGAGTACTTGCATTGGAAGCACTCTGATCACTTTGGAGCGCTCGTCTGTCTCCTGCTAAAGTATTTCAGGCACCAGTAAGTCCGTGCTAAGGACGAGATGCACGTGGAGGTCCTTTCTCTGCCTGGGCTCTCACTCTAAATTTGCACATGGGGATGGGGCGGGGTCGGGGGTGGTGTCCAGTCTAACAATTTATTCTGCAGGCGTTTTAATCTTGAGGATTTCTCTGTTACAGGAAGCAGAAACAAAATTCAAATTATGGGTACTAAAAGTATAAGTGAGAAGAGTAAAACCTTTAAGCCCTTTAAGAGATATAATGTTATTCTGGCTTTGGGGCAGGTGCAGACTGATTTAAACCAGCAATTCAATTTTTCCCATATAAATTACAAGATTTATTGAATCTGTTCTCCAGTGACCTACTTCTAGGGGTATATTCCTGGCTTTCTTTATATTCCCTTAGACTCCTTGACTCTCTCGGTGCTAATATTAACACACTCTTTTTTTGTTATAGCTTTTATAGACTTGTAAACCTAAAAGTCCTGAACATTAAGACTTGTCTTAATATCTGCTAAAATAAGTTTCACACATTGTCCTTCTTCAAAATTGCTTTGCCTGTTCTTTTTTTTCTTCTAAGATTTTATTTATTTATCCATGAGAGACACACAGAAAGAGGCAGAGACACAGGCAGAGGGAGGAGCAGGCTCCCTGCGGGGGGCCCGATGCGGGGACTTGATCCTGGGACCCTGGGATCACGCCCTAAGCTGAAGGTGGACGCTCAACTGCTGAGCCACCCAGGCGTCCCTCTTTGCTTGTTCTTGAATCTTTTCTCCTTCATCTGTATTTTAGGATCATTTTGTGTTCTAATCTGTTGGAAATGTGTTTTTTTTTTTTTTTTGGTTTGTTTTGGAATTGCATTGCATTTTTTTCTGCAACGACATCTTTATCATTCTGTGTTTCCTATTTATGCATATAGACTGTCTTGCCATCTATTTAGTCTTCATAAATTTCTTTGATTAGAATATTATGTTAGCGGGGACACCTGGGTGGCTCAGTGGTTGAGCGTCTGCCTTTGGCTCAGGGCATGACCCCAGGGTCCTGCAGGGAGCCTGCTTCTCCCTCTGCCTATGTCTCTGCCTCTCTCTATGTCACTCATGAATAAAATCTTTTTAAAAAAATGATATGTTAGGTCCGTAACTATCATTTCCTTTCGACTTATCCTATTCCAAGAGTTTTAGCCCCATTTAGCTTTTTTCCTTATTAATTTGTGTTATATATATATGAAAAATAATGCATATCACTATTTTAGTATCTGTGTAGTATTTAGTTATATGAGTATCATATATTTTATTAAAGAAAAGTCTTCTTGGTAGACATTAATGCTGTTCAATATTTGCTGTTGAAAGTAGTTGAAAATGCTGCAGAGAACAGCAGTAGTTGAACAACAGTAGTTGAAAATACTGCAGAGAACATCTTACCCAGCATTGTGCCCTTGTGAGAATGGAGCTATAGGGTAATTTTTCACTATTTTATTATTAAATTATTATTAATAATTTATTATTAAATTATTAAAATATCACTATTTTAGTATCTGTGTAGTATTTAGTTATATGAGTATCATATATTTTATTAAAGAAAAGTCTTCTTGGTAGACATTAATGCTGTTCAATATTTGCTGTTGAAAGTAGTTGAAAATGCTGCAGAGAACAGCAGTAGTTCAAACAACAGTAGTTGAAAATGCTGCAGAGAACATCTTACCCAGCATTGTGCCCTTGTGAGAATGGAGCTATAGGGTAATTTTTCATAAGAAGTGAATTTTTTTCTGAAAGAGTATGCTCACTTAAAGTTTGTATAAGTAGCGCCAAAGTGCTTTCCAAAAGGTAATACATAGAGAGAGTAGCACATTAGTACTTGGAGCATAAAAGCACCTGATCCCTGTAACTTCATTAGCCTCACTGGCCTTAAATTTTATCAAATCATCACATCTAATAGATAAAATAATATCCATTGTTATTTTAGTGTACTTTTTCTGTAATTCTGATTAATCCTGGATTTTTTTTCATATATGTATATATAAATTTGTAAGATATTTTAAAAATTATTATTATTATTATTGGCTTAACCAAGAGGAATCTCAACAACATCATGTATTTTCTGAAACAACTTTTCAAAACATCTGAAGTCAAACTGCGTTCAAAGGAAGAGCTTATCTCCACCAAAGGTGAATATCAGAGAACATGCCTAGAAGCAGAAATGAAACCAAAATCTGTCAAATTAATGTGAATTTCTTAATGGGTCTTTAAAGACACAGAAGAAATAAAGCTCAAGGATGGAGTCAATACTGTACCAACATCACAGTTAAGACCCAAGATCACACAACTTGGAATCTCAGGGTTGAAAGTCAACATGCAGAAAATCACAGGTTTATTTTTATGAATTCTACAGAGAGATGAAAGGCTTTTGTTCAAACTCAAGGTGGCAGAGTTCAAGTTGGCAAATAAGTGACATACAATAAATGTTTGTTGAATGAAAAGCAGTGAATGAGCACTAGGATTGGATCCTAGGTTTCAGTAGGGGGATCTTTTGCCTTATTCCATGTTATTAGCAGTGTTTGTTGACATTTTACATATTTCTACAATTTATCATTTTAAATGTGGAAGCACTGAGCTAATCCCTTATCTTGCAGTTCTAACAACCATCACTTGTGGTTTATGATAGACTCAGGAGTAAAGGATTTCCAAAAAGTATGCATTTATGCCAATGACATGCAATCCCGGGAAACAACACATGCAGTTGAAGACTTTGTACTTTTCTTTGGGAGGTGGAAGGACCTTGACTTTTCTGTCTTATTCAGATGGCTGGAGCGGCCATTGCAAAATACCACAAACCAGATGATTTAGAACAACAGAAATTCACTGTCTCATAGTCCTAGAGGCTGCAAGTTGGAGATCAAGGTGTCGGCAGATTGGTTCCTTCTTTTTTTTTTTTTTTTTTTTAGATTTTTTTTAGATTGGTTCCTTCTGAGGCTATGTGGGGGAATCTGCTCCATGCTTCTCTGGGAGCTTCTGGCATGCCAACAACTCTTGGTGCACTTTGGTGTATAGAAGTGTCACCTTGATCTTTGCCTTCATTTTCACACGGCCTCCTCTTCATGCCAGGGGGCCCAAATATCCCCTTTCTATGAGGAAACTGCTCATCTTGGATTAGATGCCTATCCTAATGCCTACCTTCCAATTTGATACCCTCTACAGAGATCCTTTTAAATGAGGTCACAACATATCTTTTTGGGGAGATATAATCCCATCCGTAAGCCTCAAATATTCATTCCGTTGCTCTTCTACATCCCAGACAGCCCCTCTTCTGATCAATGCTCATCTTACTAAAACAGTTTCGTTATGACATTGGATGTGTTTTTGAAACATAGGATATTGTATAGACAATTCTTTAAAGAATTGCAATGATTTTTAATATAAGTCAAGATGACATACAAGTGTTAAAATTATATTGGGTGCAATTCAAAATAATTATTTATAAATTACTGTGTGTGTGTGTGGGCAGGTAGGTAGCCATCAACGGGGCTGTATGCTGTGGGAAGATATCAGTAAGTGGCAATTACTGGATTTATATAGCATCCATTCTTCAGAGAGATCAAAATACTCTAACTTCCCAGCACTCATTTCCCTAAACACTGTCAGTAGTGTTATAGTGTTAATGATACCCAACCGTCCCGCAGGATCACAGAGATGCCGTGGTGACTCAGTAACATTTACCACCCAGATTCTCCAAGGAAGAAAGTTTTACACGCGGAGTGTGTTTGTATTAGTGGCTTCCTATCATCACCTCTGTTTGTTCTGGTTTCCCTGTTTTCTTCTCTGGATAAAGAGCTACTGGGTTTACCAGCAGAATACATGGCACCCTGGAGAGGTTTTTTGGAGGCTTTGGTGTGTTTGGTGACCCTCTCCATTGCGACTTAGAAGTTTTTCTTTAGAGCCCAGAAGTGATGGCAGGGATATTTGAGAGGGGCCAGGGGGGAAAGAAATGAGGGAGAGAGAGATCTCTCTGAGGATCTGGCCCTGAGGATCTGCAGACAGAGGTGGGGCAGGACTTCTCCCCGCCGCTGCAGCACGCAGGTGAGGCTAACTGACCCCAGGTGCGCAGGCCCACACGCACGACCTGCCCCGCTGAAGCCTGGCTCTGCTGCTCCAGAAGGGCACGTGGGTACTTCGGACAACGCAGAAGTGCGGAGTCTTCCCAGACGTGAGATGCAGGTGGGGAAGGCGGTGAGCACCTGTGCAGGTGCTGTCCCGCGGTTCCCTGGGGACACACTGAGCGGACCATTCATAAAGAGCGTGACATCATGGTGTGCTGACCCATGGTGCGGTCCTCGGACCATTTCTACAAAGCCCTATAGTCAGGGGCTGAGGCACCAGGTGGGCCCCCGCTGGACATCCTTTACTGTCACTTAACTACCTGCAGACAGAGCTGTGAGCACCCACGGGTGCAGGTGCACGACCTCCCCCAGGAGACCAATGCCCCTACGAGCAGGACAGGCAGCTCACTTGGCCGGCCTGAGTCAGCCCCACACCTGTGCCACACACTCCACTTGCGGGGCCCCGCCCCTCCCTGCGCACGCCCCGCCCCTCGCCCTCACAGGCCCCGCCCCTCGCCCTCACAGGCCCCGCCCCCAGCGCCCGTCCCTCCCCACGCACGTCCTCGCCTGCCCCGGGCTCCGCTCGAGAGCCCCGCCCCCGCCGGGCGCCGACGCTCGGAGGCCGCGACGCTCCGCCCCCCGTCGCCCCGCCCACCTGGGCGAGTCCCGCCCCCTTCCTCGCCAGCCTATTGGGGACGGCGTCGCCGTGCGCGTCACACCCCCGCGCCGTGAGTACGGATAAGCGGAGCCGCGGCCGCGACCCTGACGTGGGTCACCAACCATGTGGCGCTGCGGCGGGAGGGCGCCGGGCTTCCTGAGGCGGCGGAGCGGCGGGTGAGGCGCGGGCCGGCGGGCGGGAGGCGGCGGCCCCGGCCGCGGGGTTACCCGGGCGGCTCCGCGGTCTCGTCCCGGCCTCGCGGTGCCGCGCCGCAGCTCCGTGCCCTGGGGCCCCCGGACCCCGACAGCCCGGGCCCGGGGAGCCTGGACCCCGACAGCCCTCACCTGGGGACCCCGACAGCCTGGGGACCCCGACAGCCCGGACCCGGGGGACCCGAGACCCCGACAGCCCTCACCTGGGGACCCCGACAGCCCGGGCCCGGGGAGCCTGGACCCCGACAGCCCTCACCTGGGGACCCCGACAGCCTGGGGACCCCGACAGCCCGGACCCGGGGGACCCGAGACCCCGACAGCCCTCACCTGGGGACCCCGACAGCCCGGGCCCGGGGAGCCTGGACCCCGACAGCCCTCACCTGGGGACCCCGACAGACCGGGCCCGGGGAGCCTGGACCCCGACAGCCCTCACCTGGGGACCCCGACAGCCTGGGGACCCCGACAGCCCGGACCCGCGGGACCCGAGACCCCGACAGCCCTCACCTGGGGACCCCGACAGCCCGGGCCCGGGGAGCCTGGACCCCGACAGCCCTCACCTGGGGACCCCGACAGCCCTCACCTGGGGACCCCGACAGCCCTCACCTGGGGACCCCGACAGCCCGGACCCGGGGGACCCGAGACCCCGACAGCCCTCACCTGGGGACCCCGACAGCCCGGGCCCGGGGAGCCTGGACCCCGACAGCCCTCACCTGGGGACCCCGACAGACCGGGCCCGGGGAGCCTGGACCCCGACAGCCCTCACCTGGGGAGCCCTCACCTGGGGACCCCGACAGCCCGGACCCGAGGGACCCGAGACCCCGACAGCCCTCACCTGGGGACCCCGACACCCCGGACCCGGGGAACCCGAGACCCCGACAGCCCTCACCTGGGGACCTCGACAGCCTGGGCCGGGGGAGCCTGGACCCCGATAGCCCTGACCCGGGGAGCCCTCACCTGGGGACCCCGACAGCCCTGACCTGGGGGAGGCCAGACCCTGACAGCCCTCACCTGGGGAGCCCTGGGACCCCAGACCCTGACAGCCCTCGCCTGGGGAAGGCCGGACCCCGGACCCAACAGCCTGGGCTCGGGGAGCCCTCACCCAGGGAGCCCAGACCCCAACAGCCCTCGCCTAAGGGAGCCTTGGGACCCCAGACCCCGACAGCCCGAACCTGGGGAGCCCTCACCTGGGGAGCCTGGACCCGTGGAGCCCAGACCCCGACAGCCCTCTCCTGAGGGAGCCCTGGGACCCCGGACCCCAACAGCCCTGACCCAGGGGGTCCAAGACCCCGACAGTCCTCGCCTGGGGGAGGCCAGACCCTGGGAGCCTGGACCCTGACACCCCTCTCCTAAGGGAGCTTAAGGACCCCAGGCCCAAACGGTCCTCGCCTGGAGGAGCCCAGGCCCCAGCACACCTCACCCGGGGATCCCAGGACCCCGACAGCCCTCTCCTGCGGGAGCCTGGACCTGGAGACCCTGACAGCCCTCGGCCGGGGACCCTGAGACCCTCATGGCCCTCTCCTGGGGGACCCTGAGACCCCGACACCCGTCTCCTGGGGGAGCCCGGACCCCAGGCCCCCTCGCCCGGGGAGCTTTGCAGAGCCTGGGTGATGGAGGCGCAGCGGTCCCCCTCCCAGGGACTCCCCTGCCAGAGGAAGGGGGTTCCTGTGCCTGGTCGGCGTTGGGAGCGGCAGCCAGAACAGCGCGTGGGTGAAGCCGGTCAGGCGAGGCGCCCCGGGCCCCTGGGAGGTCAGGCGAGCCCAGCCTGGGGGGCGCAGTGCGGGTGGGCCTAGATGTGGATCTTCCTGCGTGATTACAGCAGCTGCTGCGGGCCTGTGGTTCTCATGAACGTGACCTGACCGCCCTGTTTGTGGGGAGCAGGGAGTCCTCTGGACACCTGACGCTCGCTCGGTGCATCGGAGCTCCTGGAAATTGAAGTTTGTCTAAATGACTAGGTTCTTGTAAAGAGCGATGGAGTCCAACCTTCAACAACGGTGGCGCTCCCGCGTCCACAGGTCGGTTTTGTCTCAGGCTGGTTCGCAGGAGCCTGTTTACTGCTGTGCCGGTGCCCTGGCGGGGCAGCAGGTGCCCTGGCGGGGCTGAGTACCTAGGGAAGCCCCCGTGCCTCGGGCGTTTCTGCATTTTCAGCCTGAGTACGTGCTTCGGGGACTTGTGTTCTTGAGCGTAAACACATCTGAACATCCTCTTTCTTTCCGGATGTGGCCAGCTTTAGAATTAGGACCGTGTTGCTCCCGTGGTCTGACAGCGACTGGCTCAGTGGCTTTCGTTCCTTTTCTGTGTTTCCTTCAAAAGAAGTATTTTTGTGACATATAGTAACGTAGAAAATTCTGTAAAGCATATAATACAGTTGAGAGAAAAATTCTTAAAGATAGCGTCCCTGTCACCCAGAGTAAGGTGAGCCCTGACAGATGGGGAGCCTCCCTGCATGCCCCTCAGATGGGCCCTGGCTCCTGGTTCATCCCTTGCTTTTCTCCGTAGATCTGTGCACGGGAGATGGAGCTCCAGAGTCCCTGGGTCCACAGACCCTCTCCCCCTCCTCCCCACTGGGGACATCAGTAGTTCTCTGTGGTTAAGAGTCGGTTTCTTCATCTGCCTCTTTTCCCTTTGCTCATTTCTCGTTCCACATGAGCGACGTCCTATGGTCTTAGCGTCACCCTGTCCAGCTCCACCCATAGTGTCGGCGTTCCTTTATATTTTCACGGTCTGTGTATTCCTACCACACAGGTTACCTACTTGGGATGATACTGGGTCCGTCCTTTGTATTTGTCTTGGCTTAGCGTTATGCGACCCACATTTTTGTTACAAGTGGTTGTTCCGTCCATTCTTATGGCTAAGCTTATCTATTGAATAGTCCACAATCTACCCATTCGGAGGACGGACGTCCTGGTTGGTGGAGTTTGGGACTCCTAGGAATGGTGCCAACGCAAGGCCTGTGTGCTGCCACGTGATGAGGGCAAGTTCTCCAGGACACGTGGAGGTGAATCCTTGCTCATTTAAATGATGCCAAATGTTATTCCAGAATCGTTCTTATTTGCACACCTCAGTTACACCGCAGGAGTTCCTGCAATGCTAGATTTCTTACTTTTTACCAATTTGGTGGATGCATAATGGTAGTTTATCGAGATGCTGTGTACTAAAAAAAAGAGAGAGAGAGAGATGCTGTGTACTGAGATGGAAGAAGTCCTTTTGACGTGAGAGCTGTTTTTCATATGGGTAAGGAAAGTTGGTATCACAATTATAGTTAATGAACATTTGCATGTAATTGCAACATGCAGTTATTAGTTGATATGAAGCTTTAGCTGAGTAGTGAAAATGATCATAGAATTGAAAGAACTTGGGCACCTGAGTGGCTCAGCTGTTGAGCGTCTGCCTTCAGCTCAGGCCGTGACCCCAGGGTCCTGGGATCAAGTCCCGCATCGGGCTCCCTGCTTGGAGCCTGCTTCTCCCTCTGCCTGTGTCTCTGCCTCTCTCTCTGTTTCTCAGGAATGAAGTCTTAAAAAAAAAAAAAAAAAGAATTGAAAGAACTTTACTAAAGATTCAGGAAATGAATTTTCTGGAGTCTATTTGGAAGTTGTACAGCTTAAATGTCTTCATCATTTGAACATTTGAAACTGTTTTTGTGATGTTGCTGACTTAGCCACACAGTTGTCCTGCAGGAGCGTCTAACCTGTGTTCCTCTCCTCCCGTGGAGCAGGGCCAGCCCCGGAGCATGGAGGAGGAGGGGCAGCAGCGCCTGTGAGAGGGCCCAGCAGCACAAGGTGGGAGAGCAGATCCACGGCTTCACCGTCAGCCAGGTGTGTGGGGCTCACCCTGTTCCACCTTGGGCTCAACTGGGCAGAGTGTGCAAGTGAAGAGATTTCCTGATTCTTGGATACGTACAGATCCCTGGTCCCTGCCCTGAACCTAGCCCCTGAGGCCCCATGTCTCTGGATTGTAGAATGAAGTCACACGCATTGATGTTTGTGTGTCCACACACTTGACTGGTTACTGTGCTGAGTAAAGTGCCCCACATCTGTGCAGGTCACGTCTTCCTAGCACATGCTAGGAAGTGTGCTCCACACACAAAAACTTTATTTTGGAGCCATCTGGGTACAGAGATTGTGTTCCTGGACCTTCGTGATGTTTTCTCTTTAATGTAATCAAAAGGTAGTGTACACCATGGATTGGCTAGTTGGCTTCATGCGATGGGTAACACTCCTACAGCTTCAAGAGGCGGGCAGCTCTCAGTCCAGGAGGGTGCCAGTGTAGCCGCAGCACGGCGGAAGTGCAGAGACCAAGAGGACGATGGGAGGGGAGGGGTGCCTAGGACAGGTTCACGCAGAACTAGGGGGTGTGTAAGTGGAAGGACGAGAGCTGCACGCACCCCTGGCAGCAGTTCCAGACATTGCGGCGGGGGGGGGGGGCCTCAGGACAGTGGGTGAGAGCACGTGTGAAGTCCCTGAAGGCCATGTGGGGGGGTTGGGACGTACGACAGTGACTGTTAGGGAGGACCTCACTGCGTTTTTCAAGTGTTGTAGAAACTTGTCATAAAACATGGTCCTTGTTTGAGGAGTGGGGGAGGCAGACAGTTCCGTGTGTCAACTGATTTTAAATACATTGATCATCTCTTGCAAGGTAAAGTCTTAGATAATTTAACGGCTTGTAAACCAAGCAGAGGCCCCTTAAAACGATGTGGTGCCAACGGCCACGGAACCTTTGTGAGGCTTACGTAGGTAGGAGATGACCGTCCTTGGGGTGAGGATGCGCTGGTTCTTATTGGAAGTGATTTGGACCCTCCCACTGGGAGCAGGTAACTGGTGGTAGCCCCAGCACCCCCCTCGGGACGCCTCAGAACTGCAGAGACCAGGCGAAGCACCCTGCAGTTCCGGGCTGTGGCCCACTCCAGTGTCCCCTCCCAGCGGGGCCATTGTGGGCAGTCCTGGAATGACGTGTATAAAAAGGAAGCCACACAGCAGGCTTGGCGGGTGAGAGCAGGACCCCTCCCAGGCAGCCTGGTGTGAGGAGTGGGGTCTGCTTCCCCGTCTGACTGCTCCTCGGAGCCTCAACGGTTTCCTCTGCCAATGGGGCTGAGGACCCCCCCCCCCACAGTTACCCGTGAACTGTTCAGAAAGTGTCTAGCAGACGGTAAGCCTTCAGAAAGAGGGTGCGTAGGATGGTCAGCACGAGGCCTGCCTTCGCTCGTTTGTAAGATTAGGGTTTGAAAAAGGTGTTGCTGATGTGCTGGTGCTGCCTGGTGACGCAGACCAGGTCCTGCGGTGCAGTGCCCGTGCCTGTCCGAGTGCCTTTCCATCTGACTAGCTGTTCACATGTTTCTCGTTCATTCAGGTGACGGCCATTCCTGAACTGTCCCTGACCGCAGTGAAGCTCAGCCATGACTGCACAGGTGCAAAATACTTGCACTTGGCCAGAGAAGACACCAACAACTTGTTCAGGTGTGGGGGGCGTTGTGCATGCACACTCTTGACTGTTTCCACTGACGGCACCTGCCACGCCACAGCTAGTTTAAAGGCTTTGTTTACTCATCTTTTATTTTTTTTTTTTTAAGATTTTATTGTATTCATGAGAGAGAGAGAGAGAGAGAGGCAGAGACACAGGCAGAGGGAGAAGCAGGCTCCATGCAGGGAGCCCGATGCAGGACTCGATCCTGGGACTCCAGGACCATGCCCTGGGCCAGAGGCAGGAGCTAAACTGAGCCACTTAGGGATCCCCTCATCTTCTATTTTTATTGGCCATATCTTGAAAACAAGGGAAAGTTTAAGTGAATTTATGTCCTCAGCGACATAGTTAAAGTTTGGGGTCTGAGTTAGTGATCTTCTGTGTTGTCGTCAGAGACTGTTTTTGTGCGAGGGTACGCGGCTGGAGGGGTTAAGGCCAGTAACCGCGGTGAGCGGAGTCCTGGATGCCGAGCTGTGCGCCTGAGCCCGCCTGCTGGCTCCTCTTGTTTCCCTGCAGCGTGCAGTTCCGCACCACTCCCATGGACAGCTCTGGTGTCCCGCACATCCTGGAGCACACCGTCCTGTGCGGCTCTCACAGATACCCATGCAGAGATCCTTTCTTCAAGATGCTCAATCGGTCGCTGTCCACTTTCATGAATGCCTTCACAGGTAAGCTGGCCTCCTGCGCTGGGGCTGTGCCGGGGGCCACTGGGTGTGGGGGTGCTTGGCAGCCCGTAGGCGGGAACACGCGCACCACTCTCTGGTCTGGTTGAAAGCTGCTAGAACTTTAATCCTTTGGGAAAGCCGCATTGTGGTCAGATTATAAAAACCATAGTTTTAGGGAAGAGGCACCTGACGTTTTTCTGGAAAATGTCAAAATAATACTCTTTTGGAAACATTGCAATAAAAGTTGACCTCTGTGGCATTAAGTTAATGTGGCAGGGGGGGTGTTTGGGCTTTTAGGAACTGGGGCAGCGGGTAGGCTGATGGTGTGAGAGAAGTGCCCTGGGGCCCACAGTTCCCAAGTGCGTTAAGTCAGCAATCTGGGTGAGGCTGTCTTTGCAGGCATGTGAGGTCATGGCTGGCTGTGCCCGTTCCGCCCGCCCCAGCCAGCCTGTAGCAGCAGGGTGCTCCCTCTATGCCAGGGGCAGTAAGGGCTCACCATAGAGGGGTAGGAGGTGGTAGACGTGACTATTCCTGTGGGAATCTGTCCAATTTTAAAACTGTTTTCATTTACACCCAGCTAGCGATTATACTCTATACCCATTTTCCACACAAAATCCCAAGGACTTCCAGAATCTGCTGTCTGTGTATTTGGATGCGGTTTTTTTCCCATGCTTGCGGGAACTGGATTTCTGGTACGTAATGATTGATTGATTTAGACTTTAGTATTGGAGTCCCTGTCACTGTGTAATTACTTATCATTATTTAGGCAGGAAGGATGGCGACTGGAACATGAGAATCCAAGGGACCCCCAGACACCCTTGACCTTTAAAGGCGTCGTCTTTAATGAAATGAAGGGAGTATTCGTGAGTTGTGGGTTTTTTTGTTTTGTTTTGTTTTGTTTTTTCCTTTTTAAAACTGTGTAACACTGATCCTCCTGTGTGAGATATTGAAATGTTCCTGGGTCTGGAAGACAGTTGATGTTATCTCACGTTGTTTGCTGGGCTTGTTGAACCAGCAGCTGGACGGTAGAGGGCCCAGCTCCCAGTGTTGCAGCTACAGCTCTCCAGCTGCGGTGGGGGCCTGGCCTGGGGTCTGCGGGAGGTCCGTGAGGTAAACCTTGTCTTCTTTTCCCACGCTGGCCCATGTGCGGTTTCCCCGGGCCTGTGTTAAGAGTTTTGTGATAGTTGATCGGATACAGAAACAAATATATCAGAGTCCAGCTGTCTCTTATTAGGCCAGACATCAAGGAGATTTGCAAAATGTGCAAAAGCTTTGTCTCAGAAATAGTTTCCAAAAACTATTGTTAACATGTAGTGATGGGTTAAGATAATGAGTGAATAAGTAACTTTTTTAAAGGTCTCAGATTTTTAATTTCTAATACAGAAACATTATGTGTGTGCACACACACTCCTGTGCAGTCAAGAAACCCACATCATCAAAAGCTCTTTGGGGGCCTCATTGATTCTGGGGAGCATGAAGGATCTGAGACCAGGCAGTTTGAGGACCTCTGTGCTGGGGCCCGTCCTCCCAGCGCCTCTGACTGTGGAGTCCTGCCTTTACATGTGGGGCTGCTTTGCTGCACCATAGGGCTTCCTTACCCTTGAATACTCAATTAGGATTTAATTTCTTCCACCAGCTCCTGGAAATTCCTGTTAGAGTGGCTGCTTTTGCTCTGGAAGCCCTTGGGACCCCTCCCCACAGCTCGTGGGCAGGGGTCCTTGCGCATCTTTCCTTGTTCCGCACGTCTCTCCCCTGGCCCTCAGCTGTGCAGCTATTGGTGGCCCGTGCACAGTGCAAAGTGTTTTCCCTCTGGCAAGAGCCCTGATCCCTGGGTCCTGTGCGGGAATTGTGAGTGAGTTGTGTGCTTTGTTAGGATCCGCTGGGAGCGCCTGGTATACTGCTGCGACAGTGTAAATTTCAGGGTGTTACTCCCAAAATGTGGTTCATCTGTGTGGTTCATCTGCTGTGTTGTAACAGTGGGTGTTATTTTTCACACACATATCTTTTCTTTTCTTTGAAGACTGACAATGAGAGGATATTCTCGCAGCACGTTCAGAACCGACTCCTGCCTGACCACACGTACTCCGTGATCTCCGGGGGCGATCCCTTGTGCATCCCAGACCTCACATGGGAGCAGCTTAAACAGTTCCATGCAACCCATTATCACCCCAGTAATGCTAGGTAATATTTCACGTTTGACATTTAATTAATGGTGGGTGATGAAGAGTATACTGGTGTGCATACACTAAGTGATACGGCTTCTCTCACATTTGGCAAAGGATTGTTTGTGAAGAGCTACGTAGATTTAGAGGATTCTTCCCTTAATGGATTGACGTTAATTCTGCATGTCTACAGCAGCAACTTTTCTGTGCCCAGCATGATAGTGACAGCGCCTCCTAAAGGAGGATCCGGATGCTGCCACCGTCAGCCCCCTGTACCTCAGCTTTAAGATGTAGGACATGGATGTACTGGTGACTGTCCCCCCTCCTGAGGTGCTCGAGAAATGGCAGTTACCCTGGCTAAACTGGGGAACTTGCTGGTTTCAGCTGTTACTAATAACAAAACACCAATGTGTGTATTTATAAATAAAATGCTGATGGAAAATCAAATTTTCAAGATTATTTAAAATGTAAAAAAATTTGAATTTTGATAATGAAAACTTTGAAGCATACGAAAAACCATAGAGCATAGAATGATGAACTTCATAGACATACCACGTAGATAATATCCTTTGCCAGTATAAAGGAGACGACAGTCCTCATAATGGTCTACCTCTAATACTTAAATTCGGGACCCTGAAACAAACATTTTATGACATCATACCATATTCAAATACTTGCATGAAAGCACCTACTAATTATTCCAAATCTGGATTTCCTGGTAGTACCCAAAATAACATGTTCAATCCAAATGAGGCGCATATATTTTGTAAAGCTCTGTTTTTCTCCCTGGAGACACAGGCCATCTGCAGGGTTGGTATCCTGGCATTCTGTGAATATTCTGTTTCTTACCAAGCTGTTAATGTTCTTAGATTTATTTACTTATTCATTGTTTGGTGTGTTCACTGCCTGGAACAATTCCAATAGAGTTTGCAGAGTTTTCTAAAGAATTCTTTAATTTTGGGGGACACCTTGGTGGCTCACTTCGTTCAGAGTTCCAGCTCTTGGTTTTGGCTCAGGTCATGATCTCAGGGTCCTAAGATAAAGTCCTGTGTTCAGCTGTGCACTCAGTGGGGAGTCTGCTTGAGATTCTCTCTCTCCTTCCCCATCCCTGCTCCCTGTGTGTGTGCATGTGCATGCGCACACTCAAATTCAATTTCTTGTATGTTTATTAGCTGGACTTGGGTGAACATGAGCTTCTCCCATCAGTAGGGACTGAGGGTTAGCCTGAAGTACAACTGTAATGGGAAGGGCGGAGACAGGCTTCTTTTCTTTGGCTGTCCAATTTTAAAGGGAGATGGTGGCAGTAGCTCCTCCAATGGTGACAGAGGAAGCTTTTTTACTTTTACTTTCATATGCTTTATTTTTAATACCATTGTTATCTCACAGAAATATTTTTTGTTTTTTTTTGTTTTGTTTTGTTTTTTAAATTTTTATTTATTTATGATAGTCACAGAGAGAGAGAGAGGCAGAGACACAGGCAGAGGGAGAAGCAGGCTCCATGTACCGGGAGCCCGATGTGGGATTCGATCCCCGGTCTCCAGGATCGCGCCCTGGGCCAAAGGCAGGCGCCAAACCGCTGCGCCACCCAGGGATCCCCAGAAATATTTTTTGTATATGTGTATACTTCAAATTATATAATTGAATAGGATCTTCATTTTTTTTTTATGCTTAAAATTGTTTCAGCCGTCATTCAAGGGAATTCCTTTAAGCTCATCTTATCTAATGGTGTCTTTAGTTTTCAATAACTAGTTTCTGTATCCTGCCCCAAATCCTGGTTCATCCTGCTCCTGATCTGTAGCTACTTCTTTCTCCAAGGAGTCCTGAGACTAAGTGGAGCCCGGCATTTAGAGATCAGCATCTCCATGGACACCAGGGGTGCTACTTGTTATTGCAGTGCCACTCTCTGAGCCACTGAGTGGAAAATTTTGAAGGGTCTTTAAGATACTTGTTCCCCAAATCAGATGTGTTTATTTTTTTGGGATATAACCAACATATTGCAGAGTTGTAGGTGTGCAACAGAACAATTTGGGTCATGCATATGCCATGAAGTGATCACCACAATAAGTCCAGTTAACATCTATCACTGCACATAGTTGTAAATATCTTTTTCTGATGAGAACTGTTAAGATCTGTTAGCAGCTTTTAAATATACACTACACTATTCAACATAGTCACCATACTGTATGTTATGTGCCCATGATGTAACTGGAAGCTTGGACCCCTCCTACCCATTGTGTCCACCCCCTGCCTCTGGCAGCCACCAGTCTGTTTTCTGTATCTGAGTCTTAGCCCAGAAAACAGCTTATTAAAAAAAAAAAAAATCAGTGTCATTGTACTCTTTTTCCCTAGATGGATAAATATGTTGTCCTAAAAACACATAATCTGAAATTTGTAGCCTGAAATTGAACTTTGTGAAATTCCTTACTTCGACAGTAATAGATGGGTTACTGTACTCCTGTAGCTAAGACCATCAAATATTTTAACATATGAGTTACTTCATTTTTGAAACCCCTTTATATAGTACATTTAAAATAAGGAGCAACTTCCGGCAGATTTACATTTAATTAATTACTTTTACATGATTTGTGTTGTGTTTCTTATTAAAAAAAAAAAATCAAAGCCAATATTTGGTCTTTCTAGTTTAGGTAAGTAAACAGGGGCCCCTGGGTGGCTTCGTTGGTGAAGTGCCATAGGTTGGGATCGTGTTTTCAGGGTCCTGGAATCCAGCTCCACATTGGGCTCCCTGCTCAGCAGGAAGTCTGCTTCAGGATTCTCTCCTCCTCCCCCACTCCCCCCTACCCAGGTGCACGCAGCATGCACACCCTCTCAAATCTTAAAAAACAAAAGAAAAACCAGTGAATGCAATATAGTTCTATACAAACTTCATTTCAACATGGGAACTATTGTGCTATGATGTGCTATATATATGTGTACTTTCTGGTTTTTTTAAAGATTTTCTTCACTTAGCGCTAGCCGGGGGAAGGGCAGAGGGACAAGCTGACTTCCCACTGAGCAGGGAGTCCAACATGGGGCTAGATCCTGAGACCCCGAGATCTTGACCTGAGACAAAGTCGGACACTTAACCAACTGAGCCACCCTGGCACACCAACGTACCTTCCATTTTTAAGTTTGTTTTTTTAATTCTCCTGTAATTAACATACAGTGTTATATTTGTTTCAGGTGTAAAATAACATAATTCAACACTTAGCATATGTTATTCAATGTTCGTCAAGATCCCCATCACCTATGTCCCCCATCAACCCACCACCTTCCCCCTAATAACCATGAGAGTGTTCTCTAGAGTTAAGACCGTTTTTTTTTCAGTTTTTCTTTCCCCCTTTGCTCATTTGTTATCCTAAATTCCACATGATTGAAATCATACAGTAATTGCCTTCCTCTGACTTAATTTCACTTAGCATTCTGTTCTCTAGCTCCATCCGTGTTCTTGCAAATGGCAAGATTTCATTCTCTTGTGGCTGAGTACAGCTCCATTATATATACCACATCTTTGTCCAGTCGTCTGTCGACGGACACTTGGGCTGCTTCCATATCTCAGCTATTGTATATAACGTTGCTATAAACACAGGAGTATGTGCATATATCCCTTCAAATCAGGGTAATATTGGCCTCATGGAATGAATTTGGAAGTTTTTCTTCCTCCTGTATTTTTTGGAAAAGCTTGAGAAGAATAGCTATTAACTCCACTTTTAAATGTTTGGTAGAATTCGCCTATGAAGCCAAACTGGTCCTGGACTTTTATTTATTTGGAGTTTATTGCTAATTCAATTTCTTTCCTGGTTGTAGGTCTGTTGAAATTTTCTATTTCTTCCTGATTCAGTTTTGGTAGTTTTGTATGTTTCTAGGAATTTATCTATTTCTTCTAGGTTGTCCAATTTATTGGCATATAGTTTTCATGACATACTTTTATAAATGTTTGTATTTCTGTGGTGTTGGTGGTTGTTTCTCCTCTTTTATTATTAGTGTTTTTGTTTATTAAGGTCCTCTTTCCCCCCCCTTTTTTTTTCTTTAATCCTGGCTAGAGGTTAATCAATTTTGTTGCTCTTTTCAAAGAACCAGCTCCTGGTTTCATCTGTTGTATTTTTTTAGTTTCTATATCATATATTTCTGCTTTCATCTTTATTATTTCCTTCCTTCTGCTGGCTTGGGGTTTTCCGTGTTATTTTTCTATGTCCTGTAGGTGTAAATTTAGGTTGAGATTTTTCTTGCTTCTTGAGTTAGGCCTGTATTGCTATAAACTTCTCTCTTAACAAGCACTTTTACTGAATCCCAAAGATTTTGGACTATTGTGTTTTCATTTTCATTTGTTTCCTTGTGTTTTTTTTTTTTTAATTTCCTCTTTGATTTTTTGATTGACTCACTCATTGATAGTAGAATGTTGTTTAACCTCCGTGTATTTGTGGTCTTTCAGACATTTTTCTTACTGTTGATTTCTAATTTCATAGTGTTGTGGTCAGAAAAGATGCATGGTATGACTTTGATCTTTTTGAATTTGTGGCCTAACATGTGACCTACTCTGAAGAATGTTCTGTGTGCACTTGAATGTGTATTCTGTTTTAGGATGGAGTATTCTGAACATATCGCTTAAGTCCATCTGGTACAATGTGTCGTTCAATGCCATTGTTTCTTTGTTGGTTTCTTGTTTAGATGATCTGTTCATTGATGTAAGTGGGGTGTTAAAATCCCTTACTGTTATTGTCTTCTTATTGTAAGTTCCTTTATAATTGTTCTTAACTTTTTTTTTTAATTTTTTTTATTTATTTATGATAGAGAGAGAGAGAGAGAGAGGCAGAGACACAGGCAGAGGGAGAAGCAGGCTCCATGCACCGGGAGCCTGACGTGGGATTCGATCCCGGGTCTCCAGGATCGCGCCCTGGGCCAAAGGCAGGCGCCAAACTGCTGCGCCACCCAGGGATCCCTGGTTCTTAACTTTTTTATGTATTTGGCTGCTCCTATGTTGGGTGCATAAGTATTTTCTTTTTTAAGATTTTTTTTAAGATTTTATTTATTTATTCATGAGAGACAGAGAAAGAGAGGCAGAGACACCGGCAGAGGGAGAAGCAGGCTCCATGCACAGAACCCCATGTGGGACTCGATCCCAGGTCTCCAAGATCAGGCCCTGGGCTGAAGGCGGCACTAAACCGCTGAGCCACCCGGGCTGCCTGGGTACATAAGTATTAGTGTTAGTAATTGTTGGATTGTTCCTTTTATGATTATATAGCGTCCTTTGTCTTTTTTTTTTTTTTTTAAGATTTTATTTATTTATTCACGAGAGACAGAGAGAGAGAGATAGAGGCAGAGACACAGGCAGAGGGAGAAGCAGGCCCCATGCAGGGAGCCTGACTGTGGGACTGGATCCTGGGTCTCCAGGATCACACCCCGGGCTGAAGGCGGCGCTAAACCACTGAGCCACCAGGGCTGCCTGCGTCCTTTGTCTTTTGTTGCAGTCTGTTTTAAAGTTTATTTCATCTAATGTAAATATTGCTACCCCAGCTTTCTTTTCACTTTGTTTGCATGAGAAATGTTTTCCATTCTTTAAATCTGCAGGTGTCTTTAGGTTTGAAATGAGTCCCTTGTAGGCAGCGTATCAATGGATCTTGTTTTTTTATCAGTCACTCTCTGTCTTTTGATTGGAGCATTTAGTCAACTTATATTCAAAGTAGTTATAGATATGTATGTATTTACTGCCGTTTTGTTACTTGTTTTATGGTTATTTTTTTGGTTTTTCTTTTTCCTCATTCTCTCACCATAAGTTAGTTTTTTTTAGTGATATGCTTAGAATCTTTTCTGTTTATTTTTTTCATATGACTGGGTTTTGATATATGGTCACCATTAGGTTTGTATGTAACTTTTGCACATAGCAGTCTGTATGTAGCTGATGGTTGCTTATGTTTGTACACAGTCTCTACTCCCCACCACCATATATGGTGCCATACTTTACATTCTTTTATGTTGAGTCCCTTGATTTTTACAGATATGCTTATTTTTACCATTTTTGTGTTTCCTGCTTTTTTAAAACTCTTAACTGATGTTCTTTTTCCACTCAGAGTCCCCATTAACATTTCTTGTAGTGCTAGTTTAGTGGCCAGGAACTCCTTTAACTTTTGTTTGCCTAGGACACTGCTTTATATCTCCTCCTGTTATGAATGACAGCCTTGCTGGATTCAGTGTTCTTGGCTACAGATTTTTCTCAGCATTTTGAATATATCATGCCACTTTCTTCAGGCCTGCAAAATTTCTGTTGAAAAACCCACTAGTAGTAGCCTTTTGGGGTTTGCCTTTTGGGGTTTTCCTTTTACATAACTTTCTTTTGTTGCTTTTATAGTTCTCTTTATCACTGCTTTTTGCCATTTTAATTACTATGTGGCTTGATATGGACATCATTGGGTTTATTATTTTTTCCCAATAGGGGTTGGACTCTCTGGCCTCCTGAATGGTAAATAGCTCTCCCTCCTGGATGCTCCTGCCTTTTCACACTGCTGCTTTAGTGGTGCTCTTTCAGGGCAGGGAATCAGTTTCCCATCACCCTCCAGGTTCTCTCAGAACATACCCTGCTCATGTTGAAAGTTCCAGCTATAAGTCCCATTGATTGTCAGAACTCCTAAAACTTGGCCCCTCTGGCTTTCAAACCCAGATGTCATGGGGATTCATGTTCCTGTGTCGGCTCACCAGTGTGACCCTCTCCCCACCCCCAGGTCCTTCCCTCCAGCAGACCGACCCCAGGTCCCTTTAGCCCCCCACAGTGACTCCTCCCTCCCTTCCCACCCTCTCCATTGTGGTCTCTTCTCCGCATTCCATTGTGGCATTTGTTCTGCTGGTGTCAGGTGGTTTTCTGGGTTATTTACCCTGACATAACTGCCCTAGTTGTATCTGGGATGAGGTGAGTTTAGGGTTTTCCTACTCTGCATACCTTCCATTTTATATAAAAAGCCATCTGTGTTAATTTCTAATCTTTGAAACTAAGGTAGACTAATATATTCTCTGAACATTTCAGGTTCTTCACTTATGGCAATTTTCCACTAGAACAGCATCTGAAACAAATTCACAAAGAAGCACTAAGTAAATTTGAGAAAATTGAGACAAACACTGCAGTGCCAGCTCAGAAGCCATGGGATAAACCAGTAAGTGCCCCATCCAGAGAATAAGCAGTGTTTTTACCTACTAAATACACTGAGATGGAGAGTCAAACTGTGTATTAGTAATAGGATTTTCAAATATTGGGATCCCTGTGTGGCGCAGCGGTTTGGCGCCTGCCTTTGGCCCAGGGCGCGATCCTGGAGACCCGGGATCGAATCCCACATCGGGCTCCCGGTGCATGGAGCCTGCTTCTCCCTCTGCCTGTGTCTCTGCCTCTCTCTCTCTCTCTCTGTGACTATCATAAATAAAAATAAATAAATAAAACTTTTAAAAAAAAAAAGGATTTTCAAATATTGTGGCCTCTAACTTGAATATAAGAGCTTCTTAACTCAAAGGAATGGTTATTTGTTTGAAAAGAAGGTTAACTTAGTGGAAAGCATCTCTTGGGCCACTTTATATGTATTCGGGTAACTTCTGCTAGTTTAAAGGCAGTCGTTCATACTCTGCACCTACTTAAAGCATCACCTCCTTTTACAGAGGGAATTCCAGATAACATGTGGCCCGGACTCACTGGCTGCAGATTCCTCTAAACAAACAACCGTCGGGGTCAGCTTCCTCTTACCAGAGTAAGTGTCTGCTATGAAGTAGGAAAAGTGCACCGTAGCAGGGCTGGAGGCAAATGCTCCAGGTATAAGTTCGTTGATGGTTAGGATTTAGGAGTCAAGCAGCTGTTGGATGGCAGGGAAGATTTTAGCATCTGGGATGGTTCTGAGGAAATTGCCACTATAGTAGCTATCCAAAAAAAAAAAAAAAAAAACTTATTTTCTTAGTGCATTTTAAAGCTCATTTCTGTGGAGAAAAGTGGCTTGGATGGCAGTTGTTAATATTTGTCGGGGTGGGACCACAAGGGCCCTTGCACGTGGGAAGAGCACAGTGAACACAGACTTCAAAACCCTGCACGGCACGTGATACTGTGTAGTTGTGGAGATCTGGCACCCACGGGGCACGTGGGCAGGCCGCCATCCTCTGCCATCCCACATCGGGACTGGCTGCCCTGAGTGGCCACACTGCTGGACCTGGTCCCCCGTCTCCTTTCTGTTCTTGTCTAGGTGTGCACAGTGCGCTTTTAATTGAGATAGTGTGGGTCAGAGTGCTTGGCACACTAATGTGATGGCATTCAATATACAGCTAAGTCAACTTCATGGTTTGGGACCCCAAAGTAATCTGGTTTATGAGAGCTTTGCAAACCAAAAAACAATTACTCTCTTTTATCTTTATAATTTAAAGTAAAGGTTAAAATACAAGCGTTTGTAGAACATCCACTTCTTTGGAAGTAAAAGTGTTGATTTAGTGGTGATTTAGTGATTGGAAAAAATTTATGAGGAGCAACAGTTTCCCTTTTTCTCTCCCTGCCCCCGCTTTTAAATGAAGCATCACTGATACATTTGAAGCCTTCACGTTAAACCTCCTGTCTTCGCTCTTGATCAGTGGACCCAACTCCCCTTTCTATAAAGCATTGATTGAATCTGGACTTGGTACAGACTTTTCTCCTGATGTTGGGTAAGTTTCATTATCAGATCAGGTCAGTGGTATTTGCACTTGGGGCCAGTTTGAACATTTGACAGTGTCTGGACAAGTTTTTGGTTGTCACAGCTGGGGAGGGTTATTAACACAAGGTGAGTGGGGTTAGGAACAGAGTATGCACAACGTCCCACAGTCACAGAGTGGTTCCCTGCTCCCCAGCACCGTACAGTGCATGAGATGACAGGTCCAGTACAGCTGTCTTCTGTCCCCTGAAGGGGACTTTGGTGGGGGGGGGGGTGTGATAGCTTGTCCAAGATCTCAGAGTGGTGTACTGCGGCCTTCTTTAAAAGCCAGGTTGTTAAATATTCTTTCAAATCTTAAGATTTTGTAAAACTCAGCAGTTTTATTTCCAGATTTAACTTAGCATAACTCTGAAGGTTAAATTGCAGTGAATTTTAGAAATATAAATGTGGACACAAATGCACGTGTGACCAGTTATATCTGAGGAGCAGGTATCTGAGGACCCTGCTTCAGTTGGCTTTTTCGTGGAAAACTTGGGAGGTTTAAGTGTCCATAGCTTTCTTCTCTAGAGTGTTGGATCTTTAAGTGAAGCATGTTGTGATGATCGAAGCCATCAGAATTCTGCTGTGTGACTGAGTTGTATGTTGCAGGTACAACGGCTACACGCGGGAGGCCTACTTCAGTGTGGGCTTGCAGGGGATCTCGGAGCAGGACACCCAGTCTGTGCGGGACATCATCGACAGGACGATCGAGGAAGTCATCGAGTGCGTGTGGCTGGTGCTCACATTCCTGACACTGTCCAGTGAGGGAGCTCACCTCCCTCCATGTTTGACTCTCTTTACCTCCTAAAATGTGTTCATTCATTCCAAGGTGTTTAAAGATGATCTCTGCTGCTTTGGTGCTTTGGTGTATTGGTTCCTTTTTAACATCCCCATTCTGTTTCTGTAGGAAAGGATTCAAAGAGGACCAAATTGAGGCTCTCCTTCATAAAATTGAAATACAAATGAAGCATCAGTCTGTCAGCTTTGGCCTCACCCTGACGTCTGTGCGTAATTTCTCTTTTACCTCTTTCCATTTGTGCTTTCTTTGTTTTTACTGTTGTGACCAGTGGGTACTTGACGGCACTGAAAACACAGGTAGCAGCTACTCACAGCGCCTTTCATTGGAACCTTGAAAGTTGTGCTATTTGGGGTCTGATATAAATTTAATTTAGTTTTATAAACATGTCTTTTTACCAGCCTAATTGGCTTTCTGATATCTTATTTTTCTTTTTAAGAATCATTTGTTATAGAGAGAGAAAGAGCATGCTTGGGGTGGAGGGCTAGAGAAAGAAAGAATCCTGAGCAGCTTCCACACTGAGTGTGGAGCCCACCACAGGGCTCAACCTCAAGACCCCAAGATCATGACCTGAGTAGAAACCAAGGTCGGACACTCGACTGAGACACCTAAGCTCCCCTTATATCTTCTATTTTTATATAGGACAGATTCACATGGAGTATATACAGGTAGAGATTCATAACTGTAGGTCTCTTGGTAATCATATTTCCTAAAAATAATTTTAATACCTGTGCTTGCTTTACTAGAGAAAAGACAGATTTAAAAATTTCCTAGCCAAGGAATGACTTAATTTTGGTTATAATCAAATTTTGAATACAGAAACCAAGATGATAATAAAATGTCACGTTTGGTATTGAGTGAGCTGACTAGAGTTCGCCGTGTAATGTGCATGTGGATTGGATGTTCTTGGTTGCAGTACATTGCCTCCTGCTGGAATCACGACGGGGACCCTGTGCAGCTCCTGAAGCTGGGGAGTCAGGTGGCTCGATTCAGGCAGTGCCTCAAGGAAAATCCACAGTTTTTGCAAGAAAAAGTAAAACAGTATTTTAAGGTAAGGAAATTGGAGAATTTATGTGAATACATGACATAATTTCTTAATTATTAATTAATGCTCCTATTAACAAGTTTAGTTTTGATTCTGACGCAATTTGGCTTTTTATATGAACACATGAGTGTTTTTTTGTATGTGAGTATATGTATACATGTGTATAAACAAAAACATCTGTAGGCATTTCTGTTCTGCTTCGTTGAAAGATTGTATTACTCCTCAGTTTTGGGGAAGGTTTTGATAAGAGTTGTTCACTTGTCATTAAAAGTTTGGTGGACTTCACCTGTGAAGAAATACAGTTCTGGGATTTCTTCATCAGGAGTGGTTGTGTGTGTGTGTGTGTGTGTGTGTGTGTGTGTGTGTGTGTTCATTACTGATTCAGTGCCTTCGTGAGTTACTGATCTATTCGGAGTTTTCTCTCTTCACACTTCAGTCTTGGAAGGTGATGTGGGTTTTGGGGTCTGTTCATCTAGGCGACTGGTTCATGCCCGTAGATTGCTGTACTGCTGGTGCTGCCAGGCCTGTTTTCTTAGTGTATCAGAAGGGTTGGCACTTTTGTCAAATGTCTGAAAAAAAATCTTCTCTGTGTTAGGAGTTTCATTGTTTCCTGTGTTCTGCTACCGTAGGTCTGGCTGGATCTCACTTTTCTATTTACTGAGGGTACGGAGATAGTTTAAAAACTCATTGGTCTTTGTTTTTAACGTATGTGTGAACTGGGTACGTGTCCCTCTTAACACTGATTCTGTGGGGTCCTGTAGTTCTCAGTGTGTTCTGCTTACGGTTTCATTTGTCTCAAGGTATTTTCCAAGGTCCCTTATTGACTCTTTAATCTACTGGATGTTTAGGGATGTGTTGTGTAAATTCCATATACTTGTGGATTTTCCGGTTTTCTTGTACAGGCATTCCTTGGAGAGATCGCATGTGTGGTTCACACCATCGCAGTAAAGCAAATAGAGTTGAATCAATGTTTTGGTCTACCAGTGTACGTAAAAGTTAGGTTTATACTACCCTGCAGTCTGCTAAGCGTGCAATAGCATTATGTTTAAAAATAACTATATTCACATCTTAGGTAAAAAATACTGCTAAAAAATGCCAGTTATCTGAACTTTCAGTAAGTCGTAATCTTTGCTGGTGGGGGATCTTGCCTCAATGGTGATGGCTGCTGAAAGTGGGGGTGACTGGCATTCCATAAAATAAGACACTGATGAAGTTTGTCACAATGGCGGACCCTTCCTTTCATAAAAAATTTCTCTGTAGCAGATGGTACTGTTTGAAAGCAGCATTCTACCCATGGTACAACTTCTTTCAGAATTGGAGTCAGTCCTCTCAAACCCTGCCATTGCTTTATCGACTGAGTTCATGTAATATCCCAAAGATTTTTATTTATTTATTTTGGGGCAGAGGGAAAGGGAGAGAGAAGATCCCAAGCACACTCCACACTGAGCATGGAGCCTAACATGTTGGGCTCGATCCCAAGACCCAAGCCAAAATCAGGAGTCAGAGCCTTAACCAGCTGAGCCATGCAGGTGCCCTGTTCATGTAATATTCTAAATTCTTTGTTGTAATTTCAGCAGTCTTCACAGCATCTTCACCAGGAGTAGGTTCCATCTCCAGAACCCACTTTCTTTGCTCATTCATGAGAAGCAACCCCTTATCTGTTCAAGTTTGATCATGAGATTATATCCATTGAGTTCTGTCTTTAGGCTCTACTTCTAAGCCTGGTTCACTGGCTGTTTCCACCTCATCTGCAGTGACTTCCTCCACTGAAGTCTTGACCCTCTCAAAGTCATCCATGAGGGCTGGAATCAACTTCTCCCAAAACTCTGTGAATGTGTATATTGGGACCTCTTCCTGTGAATCATGGATGTTCTTAATGGCATCTAGGATGGTGTATCCTCTCCAGAAGGGTTTTAATTTACTTTGCTCAGATCCATCAGAGAAATCACTATCTATGGCAGCCATAGTCATATGGAATTTGACTTAAATTTCTTAAATAATAAGACCTGAAAGTTGAAATGATTCCTTCATCTGCAGAATGGATATTTTCTTATCAGGCATGAAAACATTATTAATTTCACTGTTCATCTTGAGCAGAGTTCTTGGCTGACCAGGTGCTTTGTCAATGAGCAATCATATTTTGAAAGGACATTTCCTGAGCAGTAGGTCTCAACAGTGGGCTTAAAATCAGCCAACCATGCTGTAAGCAGATGTGCTGTCATCCAGGCTTTGTTGTTCCATTTATAGAGCGCAGGCACAGTAGATTTAGCATAAATCTTAAGGTTCCTGGGAGTTTTGGAATGGTCAGTGAGCACTGGCTTCAACCTAAAGTTCTAGCTGCCTTAGCTCCTAAAGGTCAGCCTGTCTTCGAAGCTTTGAAGCTTTGAAGCTACGCACTGACTTCCCCTCTCTGGCTATGAAAGTCCTAGATGGCCTCCTCTTCCCCTCTAAGGCTGTTTGTCTATGTTGAAAACCTGTTGTTTAGTGTGGCCACGTTCATTAACCACCTTAGCTAGATCTTCTGGACGCCTGGCTGCTTCCCTTTTCACTCTCCTATCATGGAGACGGCGTCTTTCCTTGAAGCTCAGGAAGCAACCTCTGCTGGCTTCAAGCATTTCTTCTGCAGCATCCTCACCTCTCTCAGCCTTCAGGGAATTGAAGAGAATCAGGGTGAGGCTTTGGCTCAGGGGTGAGTCTTTGGCTTACGGGAATGTTATGGCTGGTTTGCTCTTCTATTCAGACCCTTAAAACTTTATCCATATCATCAGTAAGTCTCTTGCTTACTTAACCATTCATGCATTCACTAGAGTACCACTTGCAACTTCCTTCAAGAACTTTCCCTTTGAATTTACAACTTGGCACACAGTATGGTGCAACAGGCATAGCTTTTGGCTTCTCTCAACTTATGGCATGCCTTCCTCACTAAGCTTAATCTTTTCTAGTTTTTTTTTTTATTTTTTTTTTTTTATTTATTTATGATAGGTACAGAGAGAGAGAGAGAGGCAGAGACACAGGCAGAGGGAGAAGCAGGCTCCATGCACCAGGAGCCTGACGTGGGATTCGATCCCGGGTCTCCAGGATCGCGCCCTGGGCCAAAGGCAGGCGCTAAACCGCTGCGCCACCCAGGGATCCCTCTTTTCTAGTTTTTAAGTGAGAGTTGTACAACCTTCCTTTCAGGAAGCCATGGTAGGGTTATTGATTGGCCTGATTTCAGTGTCGTTGTGTCTCAGGGAAGAGAGAGGCCTGAGGAGGGGACAGTGCCTGGGCATGGCTGGTGGGTGGGACACTCAGAATGCACACGTTTGCTGACTTACGTGGGTGTGTGGTTCATGTCTCCCCACAACAATCACGATCGTAGCCTGAAAGATCACTGGGCACAGATGGCCATAGTAAATACATGAAGATGTCTCACATGTTGGTAGAATTACCAGGATATGACACAGACACAAAGGAGCAAATGCTCCTGAAAAAATGGTGCTGCTAGGCTTGCTCGGTGCAGGGTTGCCACAGGCCTTCAGTTTGTGAACAGATGCAGTGTTTGCAAAGCACAGTAAAGTGAGGTATGCCTGTGTAGAACACACGAGTAGTCACCTAAATTTGTGGATATTCTGGCTATTTTTGTGAAGGCTTCTTTTTTTCCCTGTGTCAACTAACCATCCATCCCCCCGTGATGCTGTCAAGTACTACTGACTCTCTTTCTTAACGCTGGGTCCTTTGCGTCCTTGTGACTTGCTTATTCCAGAACTGAAGCCTGCACCCCCCAGCCACTGGCTCCCTTTTCGTTCACCCCACCCCCACCCCTCACCCATGGCAGTCATCAGTTTGTTCTATTTATGGGTATGTTTCTGCTTTTTAATTGGATTATTTGGGGAGAAGGGGTTGGTGTTTAGTTGTATGAATTCTTTATATATTTTGGATATTAACCCTTCCCAGAAATATTATTTATTTGCCAGTATCTTCCTCCGTTCTGTCGGTTGCCTTTTCATTTTGTTGACTGTTTCCTTGGCTGGGCAGAAGCTTTCTATTTTGGTGCAGTCCCAATAGCTTATTTTTGCTTTTGTTTCTATTACCTAAGGAGACATACCCATAAATATGTTGCTAAGGCTTTGCCCAAGAGATTACTTACTGCCTGTATTTTCTTCTGGAAATTTTATAGTTTTAGGTCTCACTTGAGGTCTTTAGTCCATTTGAATTTATTACTTTTGTAAGTGTGACATATGGTCCAGTTTCATTCCTTTGCATGTAGCTGTCCAGTATTGTAATGTTTTAATTATTAGGGCTTTGTAATATAGCTTGAAGTCTCGAGTTGTGATGCCTCTCCTTTTGTTTTACAAGATTGTTTGGCTATTTGGAGTCTTCTTGGGGTTCCATACAAATTTTAGTATTCATTCTAGTTCTCTGAAAATTTTTTTAATACTTTTGGTATTTTGATAGGGATTGTATTAAGTTTGTAGATTGCTTTGAGTCTTACAGACTTTTCAACAATATTTGTTCTTGTAATCCATGACCATGGAATGTCTTTCCATTTCTTGCATTGTCTTGAATTTCTTTTATCAGTGTTTATAGTTTTCAAAATATAGATCTTTCAAGTCTTAAGTTTATTCCTAGATATTTTACTGTTTTTATTTGTAAATGGAATGGTTCAGTTTCTATTGTTTCATTATAAATGAATAGGAATGCAGCAGATTTCTGAACATTGATTTTTATATCCTGCAACTTTGCTGAATTTGTTTATCAGTTCTAGTTGTTTTTTTGGTGGTCTTTAACGTTCCCTGTACGTGGTATCATATCATCTGCAAAGAGTGAGAATTTTACTTCTTCCATACCAATTTGGATGCCTTTTATTTCTTTTTTTTTTTTTTTCTTTTTCTTTTTTTGTCTAATTGACATGGCTAAGACTTCCAGTGCTTTGTTAAATAAAAGTAGCAGGTGCAGACATCTTGGTCTTGCCTCTCACCTTAGGGGCAGAGCTTGCAATTTTTCACTAGTGAGTATGATGTTGGCTG